TTTGTCCCCTGAGGGCCTTGTGTCGGATGCAGTGTCACATGGCCTCCTCTTTGGGCTTTTTGGGGTTCAGTGCCTTGGCGGTGTGCTGCCTCGATGTTGTAACGGGGGTGGGGGAAATGGCTTTATCTTGTCCATTATTCCACCCCCCAGTTAACTAACGAGGCCGGGGGAAACAGCTCTCTCTAGTCCGTTATCCCGTCCTCAGTTAGCTAACTATTCTAGAGCACCTCCAGAGTTCCTAAGGCAGCCTCTCTCGTTCAACACCTTGTAACCTAGGTATTTGACTACCTAGGTGCTAAGACTACAAGGTGTCGTAACTGGATCAGCTACCCGAAACTCTAGAGAGAACTCTAGAATACAGAATCATTGCCACAAACGTATAAAAGAAAATGAAAGGAAAGAAATGAATAGTGAAGTAATTAGTGAGGGTTTGGGGTGAGAGAGGTAGAGGTGGGAGGAGCGAGGAGGGTCATTAGCTGAAAGTGAGAGTTTAGAGAGGGGTGGAGGGAGAGGAATAGATAGGTAGTAGTAGAAGAGTAGATAGTAGAAGACGAAATGCTGCCACCATCCATTCTAGACCATTACATACAAGACAAGGAATGGAACTTGTCTGTATCACAATATTCTCAAAAGATGTTATCAAGGTCATTATTGATATGTCCCATCTCTATCCTGTACCCATTCTAAACCATGAAACCAGTAATCACAGAGGCTTTCTCACCTCAACTCAAAATTTCTAGGAACACAGTGAAAGACCATTTAAATAATAAATTCAACAATTATATTTTTCATGATGAATATCATAACTTAAGCAATCCAATTAAAACGTTAAAGATTAATATTCAAAGTGAGTCATCCTCCAAGAATCTGAGAACACTACAACTGACTGCCCCTGATCATCACACAACATATGTAAACACGACTAAGTCACCTTACTGCTCAACTCACCAAGTGTCTCTGCCTGTAGCTGGATAGAGGGGGGGGGGCTCTGTAGCTTGACAGAGACTGTCTCGCCCTGCCGGCCGACAGCCTCCCTGCTAGGGACGTCTTCTCTGCTCTGCTGGCTCGTCTGCTGTTCTTCTCTTAATGCTTAATGCTCTCGAATCGATAGCTCTCCGAGTATATATTGGGGGAACCTAGTAGCTAACTCCGCCCACAAGTAGATAGCCTCCGGCTCTCTACCAAGCCACTCCTTAAACGTCGGCATGTTTGAAGGCTACCAGGCTCCAATTATGAGATTAGTAGAAGTAAGGTGAAATTCGCATGATCTGACCTCAGGTCACTTGGGGTCATTAACGGTTAGAGGTGTGAGATCTCCGGCCGACAACTTGGCGCCTTCTCCAATTCCTGTCTCTGACTCATATTCTATATATATTTTAAATAAACTAAACCAAACACTTTTACAGTGTTACAATGTGTTCACGAATGTCTCCTCTCGGCTGGGGTTTTGTGACTAGTGCTCACTAGGCTGGCCAGGGAAGATGGGCTTTGTCCTTCCTTTGGGCTCGCAGCACAGTGGACACCTTCGCGGTAGACGCTTTTCAGCGGAACTGGTCGAGGTGGGGTTACCTGTACCTCTTCCCACCGTTTCAGCTGTTGCTTCGGGTTCTGGCTCAGCTCTAAGTCCTATCGGGGGATGGTTCTCCTTCTAGCCCCACGGTGGCCGGCCCAGCCTTGATTTCAGGCGCTGCTTGCTCAGTGTCCGAACCAGGAGCATTTTCCACGCCTTTGCCTATTTCAGCAGATCGGGCTAGTGAGGTACCTTGCTGGTCTGCTCAACTCTTCCACACTTCGGGTCTGACGTTTCTGAAGCGGGCGTATCACCACCTGTATGGTGAACAGGTTGTTTCTCTAATGGTGTCCCATCTGCGGTCTTCTTCTCGGCGACAGTATAAAGTGTCCTTGCGGTCTTTTCGTCACTTTCTTTCCCTGCGTAGGTTGTCTTCAGTTTTGGATCATGTCGTGTTGACTTTTCTTTCTTGACTTTTTCAGGACAGGCATCTTATGCCGAATATTGTTGCCTCGTATCATACGGCGCTGGCGGAGCCGCTCCAGCTTGCTTTCGGGGTGGATGTCACTTCAGCTCCATTTCACAGGCTTTCTTGTACGTTTTTCCACCTCCAGCCTGCTCATGTACTGCCTGAGCCAACTTGGTCTTTGGACCAGGTGCTCTCCATTCTATTTTCCCCTCGGCTTGTGGTTGCCCCTCCGGTGCATGACTGTTTCCAGAAAGCTTTGTTCTTGTTGGCATTGGCTTCTGAGGGTCTGGTTGGGGAGCTAAGTGCTTTCCTCCGGTGCAGAGGCTTTTGCCTACTTTTCTACTTTTCTGGGTGTCTAACCCCGGTCAATGGGAGATAGGAATACTTTCATACAAGAGTGTTTCATAGGCCATTGCTCCCTGCACCTTTCTGAGAGGACCGTGTTCTGGCTAGTGGTTCCAGGTAGGCTCAAATTTTGCAAGACTGAAGCCCCAGACTAATGTAGCTAATATCAGTCAGATATCTTCTTGAGATGGTTATTTTGAAATGATTTCGGGGCTTTAGTGTCCCCGCGGCCCAGTCCTCGACCAGGCCTCCAACCCCAGGTAGCAGCCCGTGACAGCTGACTAACACCCGGGTACCGATTTTACTGCTAGGTAACAGGGGCATAGGGTGAAACTCTGCCCATTGTTTCTCGCCGGCGCCCGGGATCGAACCCGGGACCACAGGATCACAAGTCCAGTGTGCTGTCCGCTCGGCCGACCGGCTCCCCAGATAGCTCCAAAGAGCCTCTGGGGCTCTACCCAGAAAATGTTGTTTCATTACATTCAACCCTGGTTTTTTCTTCTCTGTAGGGTAGTTAGCTTCAGGTAGCCACAAGGGGTTCCCACCAGAAAACCAGTGTTAATTTACCTAAGCTACAGCAAATTTTACGGTTTGTTAAAAATGTAACATGTTCAATAAGAGGATTGGTTGAATTGTCACCAAGCACACTGATCAATTGATGTTACTTTATGAAAGTTGTGTAGGCAAAAATGGAAAGTAACAGATTCAGGGGATAAACATAAATGGCACAACAGCATGACAGTACATCTTCAATAATGTGACCAACAGTAATGAGTTAATTGATAATTATCAAATGGTGACTCACTGCATTACTGTACAGCATTTGTGAGGAAAATGGGATCTGGTGTCAGAAATTAAATTTCACCATGCACATGTAAGTGACTTGTAGCCTGCATCTCTAAAAAGAAACATTCAACACTGAAATACAGTATAAAGATTTTGCCTCATAGTTACCTAAGTATAGTTACAGGATGAGAGCTACGCTTGGGGTGTCCCGTCTTCCCAGTACTCTTTGTCGTATAACGCTTTGAAATTACTGACGGTTTTGGCCTCCACCACCTTCTCACTTACCTTGTTCCAACTGTCAACCATTTTGTTTGCAAAAGAAAACTTTCTAATATTTTTTGGCACCTTTGTTTCCTCAGCTTGAATCTGTGTTCTCTTGTTCTTGAAGTTACTGGTTTCATAAATTCCTCTCTGTTAAGTTGGTGAATTCCTGTTAGTATTTTGTAAGGGGTGATTATGTTACAGCACCTCTTTCTTTTATCGGCTTGTTTTGGCATATTTAGCGCCCCCCCCCCCCCAGTCTCTCTTCGTAACTCTTATTTTTTAAATTCTGGAAGCCATTTTGTGGCATGCCTTTGCACCTTTCCAGTTTATTTATGTACTTCTTGAGATATGGGCACCATACAACTGCTGCATATTCCAATTTTTGTCTCACAAAATTCATGAATAGCTACTTTAGTATTTCTACATCCATGTGCATGTAATTAAAAGCAAGTCTGAAGTTGGAAAGCGACGCGTACGCTCCTCTCACAATGTTCTTTGTGTGTTCCTCTGGCGACAGTTTACTATCCAAAATCATCCCAGGTCTCGTTATTAATTAGTTTTATTTTAATTCCTTTCCACATAATTTGTAAGTTGTGTGTGGTTTATTTTCTCTCATTCCACATTTCTTAACATGTCATTTATTCACACTGAATTTCATTTGTCACTTTGCTCCAAGCCCTTATATCAATTTGAAGGGCATGACAATCGTCTACGTTTTCTATCTTCCTCAGTATCTTAGCATCATCCACAAACATGGCCATATAGTTCTGTACTCCTTCTGGTAGATCATTTATTTAGACGATGAACATTACTGGTGCATGAACTGAACCCTCGTATAAGCACTAATAGGCTAGCATTGTTACCCACAATCACTACCAATTTAAACACCCACTTACCACTTCCCCCACTCACACACCTTGCCCTCTCATTTACTCACTCCCAAACCTTCAAGACAACCCAAACTCCAGTCAAGCTTCAATTTATTGGGAGAGATAGGAAATAATTGTATTTTATTAATACCTGTACTGTACAGTATTTCAATTTGTTTGTATTTTTAGATTATCAGAGTTAGACTTTATTAGAATATTTTATGATAATGTTTGTGCAGTATTGTGATAAATCTGTAGTCTTGAGCCAGATATACCTCTTGGTACAAAAAATATATCTACTAATAACCCAACCCACACACATGAAATGAAATGAAATGAGAAGGACAGATATTTTAGTCCGTCCTGGATCCTTATCAAGTCGTGACAGAAAGGGTCTAGGACTGACCGAAATGTCATCACTTTCATTACATTTCATACATGTGGAGATGATGAGTCACAATAATGTGTCTGAAGAAATGATGACCAAACCACACACCAGAAGATGAGACGACAACGTTTTGGTCCGTCCTGGACTCGATAATGATCCAGGACGGACCAAAACATCGTTGTCTCCTCATCTTCTGGTGTGTGGTTTGGTCTTCATGTATGTGGGTTGGGATACTTGTTTGACCTTCATTATGGTGAGGTATTCTCTGCATAGACCTACAGTTATTAATAAGTTAACTTGTGCATTCCTATGCTCTTTGTTGGTGTTTTTCATTCATGCAATATTTTAATATATACCTTTCTGATTTAGGTTGTGTTTTCTGAAGATGACAGTGGCTATGCCCACCACGTTTGTGGAATTGTCCACAATGCTGCCAGATACATGCCAGACCTGCTCGATTATATGGCTGAGTATCATCCCAACCTCATTGTAAAGGCTGGGGTTATAGGGCACATTGGCAGAAATTCAGACCTAGAGACATACACAATGGAAAAATACAAGGCTGAGGTATGTTGTATGTAATATTTCAAGTTTCACTTGCAGATATTACTGTAATGTAGGATATTTAAGCACTTTAATCCATAATGTGTATTTTCCATTGTTAAATACTGTACTGTCTTATCACTCACCTATCCGGAATATATGGGAAGGACCCCTCACCAGATAAGCAGAATTCTTATAGGGAAAGTCCAAAAATTACCATACAGTATTTGCAATTTTTTATACCACAACCAACATAATTTGAATCTCCACACACTAAATAAAAAGCATAATTTAAAAGAGAAAGTTCAGTTTACCTTGTAGTTTGTTTTGTTTGATATTATAGATCTTTAAATGTGTAGTTCTTGAAAATTTACGTAACCTAACCTTCTGTTATCCTGATTTCTGCCTGGATACGGAGAAGTTTTGCCAGAAAATTTATCCGGATTTGACTTGGACTCTGTGCCAGTCTGTGGTATCTGGCCGAACCTCCAGTTATCTGGATTACTATCTGGATTTTGTGAAGTTTTGCCAGAAAATTATCTGGATGCATTTTTTGTTGGATAACCCAAATATCCAGTTAAGTGGAATCCAGATAAGTGAGCTCATACAGTAGTTAACACAAACAAATAAATCAGTATGTACTGTAACCAAATTCTTTTTAATTGAATTTCCAAATTTACATTGCAGGTGTACAGAACATACAGTAATGGCACCTTCCGCACAGGTCCTCTACACCAAGTTAGTGTTGTTGGGACAGTGCATGAAGAAGTGGGTGGCTATTTTCCTAACTTCCTCGACATGATGGAAAAAAACCCATTCCTTCGAAGGGTAAGTTATCTGTTTATGCCTCGTTGCTAGTACCACCTGTGTGTTAATTAACACTATCGCTCTCTTTGGACATTGCTCGCATCCACTTTTCTGGGGGGGAGCCCCGTCGGCTTCCCGGAGCTATCCCAGGCTGATATGCTAATGTCAGACTTTGGCATCAGTCATGTGTATGGAGTTCTTAGGCCTACCGGGGACCACAGCCAGAACTGGGCCCCCCTCAGAGAGGCAAGGGGAGCAATGGCTTATAGAAACCCCCGTGTGGTTGAAAGCATTCTATGTCTGCCATCGACCGGATCAGGCACCCAGAAAGGTAAGCGCCCCAAAACAAACCCATATTCTGGTTAAAAGTATCCACTCAATTTAATGGCCTATATGGGGCTGTACTCTGGTCGTTATTTCGGGAGCTCCGTTATTTCTGAAGTCAAGTCGGGTCGGGTAATTTTTCAAGTAACATTCAGGTAGGATATATTTTATACTGTATAACTAAAATTAAATAAAATTCACTGTGTAATTGCGTTCCAATTTAGTGCCACACCTATGATTAAGCCAGCTGTTGACTGCTGCATGGATGATGTGTGAACACGCTCTGATCAAGTCCAGATGGGTGGGAAAAAATTGGTTCATTCCTTTGTATTGCAAAATATTTCATGTATCAATCAGTGATTGTTAATATTTTCTCAATAAAATTTTAGATATGTGTTTTGTTTTACCATGAACAGTGCAGCTAGTGTATTTTTAATGTTATGACACAGGCTGTGGCAGCCAGGCCATACAATGGCGATCGAGCCTTGTCACTAACGGAGAGCTAGCCAAGACGAAATATTTTGAGCTCACCTTTTCTCTGCTAATGATAGAATACACATTTGCAGAGACTAATATGTAGCTTTTGTTGAAAAAAACAATATGTTGTAATACTATAATAAAATTGGTAAATTGACTTAATTTTAATGAAGCTGAAAATTACGAGGCTGTGAAGATTACGTCATCCTCAGCAGCACTTGTTTTACATTGTTTATATTGTATACAGGGTACATACAGTATGTACACTTATTTTCAGACATTCACTTCACACAACAGCTAGGCTTACTACTAATTCACATGAGTTCTAATTCTACTTCACTATTGAAAATTATTTCTACTATATTTACACTGTACAGTATCTTTTTGTCAAGGCTTAATTAATCATTAACACTTACAATACTGTACTCTATCAACACTTTTTATACTAATTTATATGCCTTTCAATCATATTTTATATCGTTAATGGATGACTTGTCACGACTTGTCGATGGAAATTCAGCATCGGTGGGTGCAACATGGCTTGTAGAGCATTCGTTGCCGGCGGATGCTCCACGACTTGTCGATGGGAATTCAGTATCGGCGGGTGCAGCATGGCTTGTAGAGCATTCGTTGCCGGCGGAGGCTGTGCGACTTGTTGATGGGAATTCTGCATCGGCGGGTGCAGCATGGCTTGTCGACGAAGATTTTTCTCGAACCGTTGAAATCGTGTATTTATCTATTTTTGTCTGAATCTGATTTTATCTGGCTAATGTTCTGAGACATTGCTTAAAGGCTGTAAAGTGTACATAAAAATATCCAACAGCCTCATGTTTACTTTTTCTTGAATATTCAATGAGTTCCTTAATTTGTTCCAATCTTTTCTGATATCCGACACCTCTAGGCAGAGCCTCACCAACATCGTCCGAGTCATCATCAGAGTCATCAGTCATTTCCGAAAACACTTGGCGATTAACTAACTAACTAAGAACTAACTGTTCTTCAGGTTAACAATTCATAACCAGGATAGTAATCATTTTCTAACCATTCATTGATATCATTCACTTGTACACCCTGACCAGCTTGGAGCAACATTGTTCGGATCGTTTCTTCAAACCCTTCAAAATCATTGGCTTCATTTTCAAAACCTTCGAATTCACTATCAGATACTGCTGCGTCACATCTAGGCCTCTCTGTTAACAGTTTCTTCTATGAATTTGTTAGTGTGGTTTCTTTCACTTTATTCCAAAGCCTAGCCCAGTTGAATATTGCTTCCCTGATTGTGTACTTTTTTAGATTTTCTAGTGTTCTTTGAGTCCTTGTATCCTTTCCTGTCAATTCATCTTCCTCGCTAGGTAAAACAACTAAAACATCTTCAAGCATTGCTGTTTGGTACATACATTTAGCAGCAAGGATAACACCTTGGTCCATGGGCTGGATCAAAGATGTTTTTTTTGGTGGAAGTGCCATGCATTTTATTCTGCAATCCCTTGAAATTAACTTGCTAAAGGGATGAGCAGGGGCATTATCTAGCAGCAACAATGCCTTAACCTCACTGGCCTTTATTCCACATTTGTTGATCTGGAATTCTCTAACTTCTTTGCAAAAGTGGTTTTCAAACCAGTCCGTAAATATTGTTTGATTAAACCATGATATCCTAGAACTGTAATATATTACGGGTAGTGCCTGCATCACATTTTTTAAGGTTCGAGGATTTTTAGACTTGCCTACCACAGCACATTTTGTCCTGTGAGAGGCATCAGCATTAGCACAGAGCAAGACTGAGAGTCGTTCCTTGCTTATCTTTCGTCCAGGAATATTTTCCTGCATCCTACTGGTTAAGGATGTACTTGGTACAGCTCGCCACATAAACCCAGTCTCGTCAGCATTATATACTTGATATTTGCCTAAATTATTACTGACAATGTACTCGTTTAATTTAGCCTTGAATGAATCAACATTAGTGGGATCAGAACTTGATGCCTCATCAGAAATTTTTATGGTGTTTGAAATGTTATGCCGAGCCTTAAATCTTCCAACCCACCCATCACTTGCATTGAGATCTTTTATACGTAATTGAATGGCAAGTTTACTTGCTGCAACTTTAAGCTCTTCAAATCGTTTTGCCATGCGAATTGTGCAGTGCTGAATAAACCACTTATACACTGCAGCATCCAATTGTGGATACTGACCAGACTTAACTGTTTTTCTCGAACATGCAGCACCAGAAGTAGCACACTCTGTTGTGCTCACATATTTTAATAGAGTATCCTTCTGTTTCTTGATGTCACTTACTGTACTTTTCCCGATGTTAAACTCTGCTGCTGCTCATGCATGAGAATATCCTTTATCAAGTTTCTTAATTAACTCCAGCTTCTGTGCAACTGTCAGGCACTTCCTTTGGGTAACTTTTGGCATTTTGTAAATTAAAAGGAAGATCACAATTAACAGTACAGTATAGTAATGTCCTTCACAATTGAAGCTAGCCGCACGAGTTCACAGTTAAGAATGGGAACACCTGGCCCGGCGCAGTACATTCTAGGTCCGTGGGGAAAAAAATACCTAATGCCTATACTATAAAAGGTATTTAATAAAAAAACAAAGACTTTTGCTTAACAACAGTTTCAAAATATTTTATTAATAATAATTTAGAATTTTCTTCATTAAACTGAATCATTTTAAAAGAAAATTAAGATGTAATATACGACTCTGGATGATCGAGATCAGTGGTCTGGTCGCCATGTGAGGGGACGCTGATGCCACAACAAACCCAATACCGACCGTCGGTAGTATCGACCACCAGATCGGTATACGAGGCTCCAGATACCGGTCTCCCAAACTGGTCTTTATTACCGGCAGATCGGTATAAAAGAGGCCGTTAAATTGAGTGGATACTACCAAAAGCCGAACTAGTGGATAGAACTCCCCAACAGAAAAACGAGCAAACTAGTATGACGTCACATGTTGCTGCGCAGCCCCCCCCCCTGGGGGGGACCAGACCCTTCACTCCGGCTACCCACTCCTCAGTTCTTGAGGCTGATGCTATAAGTGATGGTAGTCTACCCGCCGGGTCGGGTTTGGCTTCGTCGGCTGTTCTGGTTCCTTCAGAGTCGCTCCTTCCGCCTCTCGCGATCGCTGGGTTCGACACCCCCCCCCCCCCTCCCGGGCCTTGTGTCGGCTGCTGCGTCGCCGGCTTCCTCTTCGTGTTTTTCGGGGTTCAGTGCCTTGACGCCTACCCGAGCCCTCGCTCGATGTGTACACGGATGCGTTGTCTCTCAGCTGGGGTTTTGTGACCAGTGCTCACTAGGCCGGCCAGGGGCGTTGGGGTCCGTCCTTCCGTCGAGCTCACAGCACGGTGTGGTAGTTCGCAACGGTGTGGTTTGCCCTTCGGAGGATTTGGGTCGCTCGCGGATTGAATTCGGCTCCATTCGGCTTGCTCTCCGGTGGTTCATTGCCTGAACCGCGGGGGTTTGATGCGGTCCTTGTCTCTTTGGGGTTGGTCGCTTCGGGTGACTTGTCTGCTGAGTTCTCGGGGTTTGGCTCTCCTGACGGTTCACGTGCAGGGAGTGTCCAGTGTCTTGGCCGACGGCCTATCTCACTTCGTTCCCTTCTCCACGGAGTGGACGGTTGACGACGCTTCCTTCCGTTGGTTTTGCCAGAAGTTTGGGCGCCCCGAGGTGGACCTCTTCGTGTCGGCGTAGTCGAGGCGCCTTCCCGTGTATGCGGCGCCCTTCCCCGATCACAAGGCCATCGGGGTCGATGCCTTTCGGCTGGACTGGTCGAGGTGGGGGTTCCTGTACCTCTTTCCCCCGGTTCAGCTGTTGCTCCAGGTCTTGACTTGCTTGGAGACTTACCAGGGGAGAGTTGTCCTTCTGGCCCCTTGGTGGCCGACCCAGCCTTGGTTTCAGGAGCTGCTTGCTCGATGTCCGGACCCGAGGGTTTTCCTGCGGCTCTGCCTCTTTCAGCAGATTGGGCCAGTGCGTCATGTGGCTGGTTCGATCTTCTCCTCGAGTCTTTGCATATGTTTTTTTTTTTTTCTCGAGTCTATCATCATCTCTATGGTGATCAGGTGGCCTCCTTGTTGGTGTCCCACCCGAGGGCTTCTTCTCAGCGGCAGTATGAAGTTTCCTGGCGGTCCTTCTGTTTCTTTTTGCGTCTTCATCGTGTTAGTTCGTTGTCTGTTAGGGTGGTCTTGTCCTTTCTCTCTTGGGTGTTTCTGGACCGTCATCTTATGCCTAACACTGTCACCTTGTATCGTGCGGTGCTGGCGGAGCCGCTTCAACTTGCCTTCGGTATCGATGTTACGTCTGCGTCGTTTTGCAAGCTGTCTCGTGCTTTGTTTCACCTCCGGCCTGGTTATGCGCCGCCTGAGCCATCCTGGTCCTTGGACAGAGTGCTCACTTACCTTTCGTCTCCTTGTTTCGTTGTGGCCCCTTCGGTCCGGGATTGTTTCTCCAAGGCTCTTTTCTTGTTGGCATTAGCCTCAGGGGGTCGGGTCGGAGAGCTTCATGCTCTCCTCCGGCACAGGGGTTTCTGCTCTTTCGGTCATGGCGATTGTTTTGTTCACTTGCAGCTGTCTCCTTCTTTTCTGCCTAAGACTGAGACTGCTGCGTTCCGGAGGGGTCCGTGGATGGTTGATGCTAGGTTGGTACGGCTGGGAGTGCATCATGTTTTGTGTCCGCTTGTGGCCCTCCGCCATTATTTGCGCTCTACAGCTTCTGTATCTGGGGACGCGCTTTGGGTTGATCCGGTTTCCCTTCTTCCCTGTCCGCAAGTGCGGGTCTCCCAGGTCGTCCGCAGGATTATTAGGGCTAGCCAGCCTGTGGTCTACCCCCATGCCCATGACGTTCGCAAGTTTACTGCTCTTGCTGCCGTCTTTGGCAACGTCCTGGGCTGACATTTGGGCATGGGGGATTTTAGCGGTCGAACAGGGTCCTAGCTGCTCATTATCTCGTGAACGTTCCCGGCCTAGTCGGGCCTGTGTCGCGTTGGGTCTGCCAGGTTGGCTGGCAGACTGGCCAGCCAGCCAGCCAGCCAGCCAGCCAAAGGCCAGCCAGAGGCCAGCCAGCCAGCCAAAGGCCAGCCAAAGGCCAGCCAGCCTGCCTGCCTGCCATCATGCTAACGGGTCGAGTGTGTTAGGCTTATCTTCGGGAGTAAGCCGGTCTCTCCCCAACCACCAACAAGCCCCCCCCCCCCTACATCCCATACTCTCTCTTCAAGGTCACGCAGTTCAACCGCGTGACGCGGCCAGCCAGGCAGCCAGGCCAGGCAACCAAGCCAGGCAACCAACCAACCAACCAAATCCTAACCCTCATGCCACAAAGCTGATCTATCAAAAAGACAGTGGAGCAATTCAAAGTTTCAGAATACTGTACATGGTTTGCGAAGCTAGGAAGCTGAAAGAAGAACAGGGAATACTAGCACTTCCTAAGAAAATGCAGGGCAAGTCAGTTCCTGAGGAAGTGAAGGAAAGGGTAGTACAGTCTTTTGAGGGTGAAGAATTTAGTTGAATATGTCCCAGAAAGAATGGAAAGAAAAAATGTCATGATTAGTGCACAAAGAAGATGGATAATCATAATTTGATTTTTTTATATCACACCAAGGTATGTCATTTTCAGAGTCTTCTGGCTGAACTAGGAATTCAGATCCCAACCTAAATAAATGTTACTCTTGTACAGAAAAATCTGCTCTATCCAATGGTGTCATTCAAAACCAAATTGGGAATAACGCATATTGTGGTATTTTGCCTTGAAAGTTGGCTAGTTTTGCAAAAAAAAATTTTGGGCCAACTTTCAAGTGGGCCACCTCTAGACATATGGATACAACAGAGTTTCTATTGCATCACTGCATAATATTGTGCTTGTTATACATCATTGCAAAAGATCATGGCATTTAGACCTTTTGCTGATGAGTAAGTGGTCTCCAAATTGGGGTCCAAATTTCTCACGACAAAATTTGGCAGTGATTTTAGCATGGATGGATAGCTGAATGGCCACCCATACTGCTTTTTCAATTACACTACGTTATTCTACACCAAAAGTTGTCCTGGTATGTCAAATTTCACACTCCTACAGGCAATAGAAGTGATTTAACAAAGGGTCAAAGTTGGTCATTTTTGTGGTATTTACGCATTAACACTTTCGCCCAGGCATGACGCAGCATTGCGTCATTCGTTTACTAACGGTAATACCGGGGATGACACAGCATTGCGTCATCCACTTTAAATAATCGCCAAAAATCAGGTTTTTATCCGATTTTTTGGGACTGGTTTTAAAATGTGCGCCGATGTCTTCCCATTTTCTTGGTTGAGCCTCGTGGCCCTCAGGTGGCTTGGCACACGATGTCGGCCCATTGTTTTTGCTCCACTGTTGTGACCGATGTCGCCTCCCCTCACATCTCAAACGTGTGAACATTTCGTCTATTTTCCGTGGCTATATTTCTTACTGCGGCTGTAGAACCTATCTACGCTTACTCCACGATGGATAGTGATCATGAACAAGGCCCTTCCAGGAAGAAAATTGTGAAAGAAAGGCTTGAAAAGGGCGGGAATTGGGAGTGTAGCTGGAAGGCGTCTGAGCGCTCACTCGCGGCTGATGCGTGGCCCGTCTTCAACTCGTCGGCGGTTGGAGCGTGACCAGGTTTTTTATTTTATATGCTAATGTTCCTCTAGAGAATTCTATTGCGAACCCATTGAGACCAAAATGAAAGACCTAGGACAAAAATTGAGGTGACCAGAGTGAAAATAGTGAAAACATTTTATCGCGTTTGCGCACTCCTGGGTAACTCATTCGCACTTTCTCTGTTTTCTGCGGGTAATTAGCCGGGCTTTTGGAGTTTATATGCATTTAGTGCTGTAGAGAATTCTATTGCGAACACAATGATACCAAATTTAATCTCGTTGGACGAGAATTAAGGTGACAAAAGTTGAAGAGAGTATACACTTTTCAGAATTTACGCGCGCTCCCATGACACCCTGGGTCCCATATCGCACAGTTGAAGGGTGGCGCGCGGGGTACGCCAAAGTGTTAACAGGACAAGAGCCCATTGAATATGGACCTGTTATTTCAGAACCAAAGCAGATTGAGCTCTAATATTTTGCAAAGTGTCATTTGGGGTCTAGGGCTATCTTACTACAAAATTTCATGGCATTTGGAGAGGATCGAGTGGGAGCCATAGATGACTTTTTGGTGATTTGAGATGGAATGACCCTAATAGCTCCAGGGAGCCTCAGGGTCTCACCCAGAAAATGGCGTTTCATTACATTCAATGCTGGTTTTTATGGTCTAATTTAACTTAAACTAGCATTTACATGCTGTACTTTTCAAATATAACATATTGTGTTAAAACTACATAATAATTTTTACTTGCAGGCAATGCCTTGGGGTCCATTATCTATAGTAAATATGTCTTCACCACAACAAAGCAATGATGGCCCTATTTTATGGATTCGACCTGGAGAACAGCTCATACCAACAGCTGAACTGGGTAAATCTCCAGCTAAGAGAAAAAGGTAATCAGTATTTCTGTGTGAAAAGTTGCACCCTTTTGAAACTCATCTCTCTTGAGGGAAGATTTGGGCATGTTTAATGATTAGATGTTAAATGGTTATTGAAGATATTACTAAAGTTGAGGGTAGGAGAAGAGGATGGTAGGATATGGTGAGTGTGATTGGAAAGGAGGTTCAAGTGTGGACAACACTTGGGAGACGGTGAGGAAGCAGGGTTGAACTGTGAATAATGTATAGGATGTGCCAAGAGATAAGAATGGAAAAAAACAGTTTGTTAGGAGTGGGTAGATGTTCAAATGTTCAAGCAATGATGCAGCTTTTGACGGTACATGTATTTCATTTGTTTACCCCTTATATTCAGGCTATAGTTTGCTAAGACATTTACTCAGAAATTATGAATATGCTTCTTAGTTAGCTGCCTGGTCTTTGGCCTGGTAGATGCTGTAGGCCAATAGCTGTTGGACTGGTCACCAAAACAATACTTGAGGTGGTATTGTTTACATTGGCTCAGTTTAACTCCCATCCATGCCTTTTGTATATCACACAATTTCACCAATATCCTTCTACACTGTTCTTGCAGAACACCAGGAATGTCTCAGAATGGCCTTCAATTAATAGAATACCAAAGAGGAAACGTGTGTTACCATGTGAAGAAATATGATTTAATTAGAATGTTTTGAAAGTGGTGTCTCTAAGGCATTCACTTGTTCTGAATACAGTACAACCTCAATTCAACGTACCCCGATTCGCCGCATCTCTGGCTAGGTCACACACTTTTCAGGCCGGATTTACTCGCCCGGTTCGGCGTACTCTTTGTCGCCGAAGCAGGGGGATGTGCGGATTTGCTTACAATGTTGGGACAGAGTTCATAGACTGGTGGAAAACTTTCCCATTCTATCACAGGTTACAATTAATAATTCCTTCATATGACAAGTTAGATCACACAAGTGGACCACACAACAAGTGACCCATATGGACCAGACCAGCCAGAATGGTCCACACAACAAGTGAAGCATATTAACCAAACACCAGCCAGAGTGGTCCACACAAGTGAACGACTGTGTTTCCATGATTTTCGTTCACTGATTTGTGGTATATATATATATATCTGTAGATTAATTTAAAGGCTGAAGCATGAATAACTAGCTAATGTGTTGAAATCTTGTATACATTTTCTGTGATGAAACAAGATAAGTGAGGGTGGACAGATAAGGGAATACTGTACTGTAAACCTCACTTTATAGTGAGGTTTCACTCGCTTTCATCTGTGTTGTAATAGTTCGGTGACCCATTACTTTGAAAGTTTCAGATTAATAAATCATTTCTAAAAACTGATGTTCTAATAGCTCTTTATTATCCTAATTAAACTAAACTAATAAAACCAAAAATATACTGTAATATGATAGACATCTGCTATTAAAGAAATTATTCATGTTATTGGCGACACAACTCCAGCACGAGGGACAGGTTTAATCTGTGTGCACACCACCATGTGTGTTTCGCTCGATTTCGTTGCCACAGTTCAGTGACCTACGGCTTTGAAATAATAAACTTAAATGATCAGTTCTAAAATAAGTAATTTTTATATCTCTTATTATCGTAATAATGTTGCTAAACTAAATATATAGCCCAAAAATATATTATTTGATGTAAATCCAATATATGAGAGTAATTTATGTTATTGGATCTGGTTTAAACACCAGCCTTCTGTAGGGTGTATAGACTTAGTCTGCGTGCATACAGCAGGTACCCAGTGCCATTAGCTTTGTCTGTGAGTGATGTGTTTGTCCGCTGGTGGAAGAATAATCGTGGAATTTGGCTTTTTTTTACTACAGTTTTATTGTTATACAACAAGATGCATCAGGAGCTTGCTAATAGTGCCTTATTAGTGCCAAAAATTAGTCAATACTGTATTGTGCAAGAACTAGTTGCAGAAAATCAACCAGCACAGCTGTACCCAGCACGAGCATAGCAGTAGCGCAGTAGCTAGCACCAGTAAAACAGCTAGCACCAGCTCAGAAGCAGCTGAAGCAAACAGCAACAGAGAGCACCAGCAAACCTGATGCAAACATCTAAGAACATCATGTGTGGCATGTACAGTTAAAACAAGTGTTAAATTTAAGTACATACTGTTAGTATTAACCATCCTGCACTCACAAATTCTCAATTCATAATGAGGATATCCACAAGAACAAGGGAGCAGATAAAATATATACAGAGGGGAACCTCAGTGTATAAATTTAACCTGTCCAAAAAATGGAACATAACCTGAATATTGGTACAGTACACCAAATCAAATTTTTCCCATACAAAATAATGTAAAACTGAATTAATCCCACACATCCAAAAATATTATCATAAAAATGCATTTTATCCAGAATGCTAGTCATATTTTTTCATACACTAAAAAAGGAATAAATGTAGTAGGCATCCTTCAGTCTAAAGACTATGGAGTTACACCCTGACAGGGCGCAAAGCCTGGGTAGGTAGATATTGAGGAGAAGCTGTTACCCATGCAGCAGGTCCCCCCTTCTCCATGTTGCTGAAATTATCCAATAGAAAGGCAATTGCCAATACACATGGTTCCAGCAACGTTGCAGGAGCTGCCAGAATGAGGTCGACGTCAACAACGAACTGCCTTAAGGGCTCCAACTCCGGATTTTTCCTCGAGGTTGACTCCTGAAGCCTTTCCCAAAAACGGGGTATGGCCGCAAGGCAGCGGAGGTTTAAAATCGGGGTTTTCATTCCTCTAGATGGGCTGCCTTGTGGCCCATCTAGGGGAAGGTTTCTTCTTTGGCCACTTGTGCAACTATACACAAGTGGCCAAAGAAGAAAAAATAGAAGTGGTAATGGAAGCCAGAAACGGCAACAATCAGGAAAAAGCAATCATTAAATGAAGTCAGAAAGGAACTGGCATCAAACTGAAATTAGTGCAAAATACAGTCGATCGAAGTAAGTCCCTATTAATTTTTGGTCGCAAAGAAAAAAGACATCTAGATCAGAAAGAGCCACAGAAGTGAAAGTAGTAGCTAAAATTGTTGGGCTAGTAGAAGGTCTTACAACCAAAGGAAATGTCTGCAACTATAAGAGAATTGGCAGGTATGAAAAAGTGAAAGATCAATCCTTGAGGATAACCCTAAACTGCTAAACAGATGGAAGAATTATTAAGGAATGTTAGAAAATAATGTAGTCCCAATATACAAAAAGGGCAAGAGGCACTGAACTACAGGCCAGTGTCCCTAACTTGTATATCATGCAAGGTGATGGAGAACATTGTGTGAAAAAACCTGGTAGCACATCTGGAGAGAAGAAACTTCGTGACACACTGCCAACATGGGTTCTGGGATGGCAAAGTTTTCCTCATAGGTTTAATAGAATTCTATGACCAGGTAACAAAAATTAAGCAAGAAAGAGAAGGGTGAGCAGACTTCATTTTCTTGGACTGTCAGAAAGCCTTTGACACAGTAGTCCATAAAAGGCTGCTGCATAAGGTGGAGAAACAGGCAAGAGTAACTGGTAGGGTGCTCCAGTGAATAAGAAAGTACCTAAGCAATAGGAAGTAGTTACTGTGAAGGATGAGACTTAAGAATTGTGTGATCACCAGCAGAGTTTCATAGGGTCTGTACTCAACCCTATCCTGTTTTTGATATACGTAAATGATCTTCCAGAGGGTATAGACTCGTTCCTCTCAATGTTTGCTGACGATGCCAAAATTATGAGAAGGATTAAGACAGGAGGACAGCATGAGGCTTCAAGATGACTTGGACAAACTGTAGGAATGGTCCACCAAATGGTTGTTAGAGTTTAACTTGAGCAAATGTAAAGTAATAAATATAGGTACAGGGAGCAGGAAGCCAGATACAAGATACCATTTGAGAGATGAAATTCTTGAAAATCAGAGACCTTTGCCAGACCTTTCCCCTGAAGCCCATATCAAGAGGATATCATCAGTGACACATGCCAAATTGGTCAACATAAGTATGGCCTTCAGAAACTTGTATAAGTAATCATTCAGAACCTTGTATACCACATACGTCAAATCAATCTTTGGAATGTGCAGCTCTAGTCTGTATCTCATTAACCACCGTGCTGCGCCGAGTTTATTGTGAAATCCCCCCTGTGCGCAGTAAATACAGTGTTCCAAAAATTCTCTTTTCTTCGTAAAATGATAAATTCCCTTCCCTGAACATGTCTATGTAAAAATAAATACCAAATTTCATTTACTTTGGGTGTGGGGACATGGACAAGGTGCGCTGTGACGTCATCAGGGGCTGGTCGCCCGTGTGTGACACGCCCAGACACGGTCGCGCGGGCCATTCAAGCACCGGGGTGTTGCCACAAATATATTTTCAATTATTTGTTCTATGTATTTCCAATGCGGCCGTATTTGTTTTTTATTGTATATGATGCATATTTGTGTCCTTTACAATATTTATACAGTAGAACGTTCATAATGTTCCATGGAACTGTGATGTAGATGTCAGTAATGTCCACAGTAAATGTTTATTGTCCCAATATTACTTGTTAAAAATTCACTAAAATTACAATATATACAGTTTTACACACTATTTACACAGTAACACACTGTGTTACACACTCAGTACTTCAGAAGTGAGTAATAATCAACGAAGTAGTTCATGATACACAGCGCGACTTCACTCTCGTTGCACCAGGTACAGATAGATTTTCGCTTCCTGTTTCTTCATTCTGTGTGCTTACAAATAACAGACTCACGTACACCCTTGGCATTAATACCTGTAGGTGTTATGTAGCCGAGCTTGTAAAATGTAAGGTAGTCTTGAAAAGATTACAGGAAAAAATCAACTTGTATGGTAGTCGTAAAAAATTTGCTATGTAAGGTCCCACACATGAAGAGATTCAGCCAGCCTTAGAGAGAGTTTGTCAGTCAAGAAGAGATCCAGCTATTCTTGAAAATATCTATGGAAAACACCACCATGGAAGTCGCTAACACTGTTCATTTATGCTACTTGTATCAGATGCATCATTATTGAATGCAGAAAATTATTCATCTATGTATCATCTAAATAAATTGGAGATAGCATAGGTTGGCAAGGGTGGCACTCAGAGCTACAACTGGATATGCTCGCTGTATCGTCCTCATAGGTGCTGTATCACTTTCATCCGACTTTTGTGTTAGGTCCTTATTGCACCTAGCTTCACCAATATTATGACCCTTATGCTCTTCAAACAATAAGGTTTGAATTTCACCGACAGAGCATTATCTTTCAACACTGCGTCCGACAGGTGTTTGGGAGCCAGAGGCGCGTGTGCCACCCATGGTTGCTCACTTAGTACTAACCCAGCCAGCAGCCCTAGGTCATTTTGGAAATTTTTTCCAAGATGGCTGCCTCTCCCTGGAGGTCCTAAGAGTCCATTTCGTACACAATCAACCGTGCACACATTTAGAATGGGTACGAAAAAATCAAAGAGTTTTCTCGGTTGGCGCAGTTAAGTGGTTAAGCAAAAGACGGAATTGGAGAAGGTTCAGAGGTTTGCCACCAGACTAGTACCTGAGCTGAAGGATAAGAGCTACAAGGAGAGACTACGGGAACTAACCTCACATCGCTGGAAGACAGAAGAGTTAAAGGAGAGACATGATCACCACATATAAGATTCTCAGAAGAATTAATAGGGTAAATAGACAATTTTATTTAACGCAAGGGGCATAGGCACTAAAGGACACAGGTGGAAATTAAGTACCCAAATGAGCCAGAGACATTTGAAATAACATTTTTAGTCAGAGTAGTTAACAAATGGAATGCATGAGCAAGTGATGTGGTAGAGGCAGACTAATTATTAATAGGAATAAATACATGTTCATATATAATTACATTTGTCTGTACATACATATATTTTCAAAGTTATATGTTTGATACCTGGAGAGGGTTTCTGGAGTTGTTCTACTCACCTTGCCTGGCCTGAGACCAGCCTTAGTCAGTACAGTACAACTTTTTAGAACGAAGAAACTAAATAAAGTGAGAAACAATGAAAATAAATTGACAAAAGTATTCCTGTGTGGCAGCTCACCTAATTTCTACTGAAAAAAGACTACTTCCCTGGGCCACTACAGCTGAATCACAAGAAGTAAAGATTTTTTAATTGGATTTTTGTGCTTCCCGGATGAATTTCAGGAAAAAAATTAATGTGCATTACAGGAGTGTCAAATTTAATACGTGCACAGTGCAGGGCTATAAGTTCATAAATAATGCACCAAGACCTGTGTATTTAATGTGCTGCCATAAACATCGAGTTCGGTACAACCTCAAATTGCGTGCTAAATTGAGAGAATGCTTTACTGTATATTTATGTTTTCCGCTTTCAGGATAGGAATAAATGAGTTGCAACGCCTTCAGTATTTACCTCGTGCCTCTAACGCCAGAGAAATGATGTTTGAAGATCGCACTAAAGCCCATGCTGACCATGTAGGGGCTGGACTTGACAGGAAAACTACTGCAGCTGTTGGTTAGTTATAGCAAATATTTGTAGCTTTGTGTTGATTGAAAAAATCGATCTCTGATTTAAATTATGAATTGTGTGTGTTGCTTATTGCATATATAAACTGTCAATCTGATCAAGTTTGGAAATGGAGATTACATCAGATACTAGAAAGCAAATGATTTAAAGATATCGCTTACAGTTCATGAGATGATTGTAATACTGTAACTTGTCTTTCCAGGAGTGTTAAAAGCTGTCCATTGTGGGAACGACTACTACCATAATCGTGTTGTGAAAGATGTTGTAGCTTTTGATGCCCATGACTTTAATGAGATTGTAGAGAAGCTACAACTAGACCTTCATGAGCCCCCAATATCGCAGGTGTGTTATGTTTGTATGCAAATGTCAGCTGTGATGTTTTGAATATAGATTTTCCATCTATTTCTAGGGGCTGTATTAATTTTACACCAGTTTAAGGTACTGTATTAATTTTGATAGTTCTACCCCAGCCATCTTCCTCAGTTCCTCACATGTTCTTTGTGCTCCCTCTGCAACAAGTAGCTTCTGCAGTGACCACAGTGGATTACTAGATAAATGGCTAACTTGCCAATGGTCATTACTTAGCATTGAGTCATGTTTTATTCATTGCAATATGTTTCAGGAGCATGGTTACTAGTCATCATGCATATCTTTTTCAACTTCCCTGATGGCATCAGTGAATCTCTTATCAAGTGTTTAACTCTGAAGTTTTTGGGTAAATTGGTTATCAATGTGAGACGCGTGGAAAAAGGAACCATGTTATTTCAAAGTACCACACACTCGAGCAACTTGTGAGCAAGAATAGTACCGTGTTCAGAAATCCAAGAATTCTATGTAGGGGATGGTGGGCTTACCTTAAATGCAGCATATTTTGTAAGAGAAGAATGGAAAAGGGAGAGGCCAACCTTAGTGAAAGTGTCCTTGTGCACAGAATGTGGTCTAAAGCAGTGGAGGTACTGTAGCTGTAAGTCAGTTGTTACTCAACGGTGGATTGACTAAGATAGTATTTTATGTAACCTCATACGTGGTAGGAAGAAACACTGAACATTTGTGTCTTTTAGTCATTGGAGGACCACCATTCGATTGTGTTAACAAGTGGTCAAAGGAACAAATACAGATGTGTTGTCTGTGATTGGAGAAACCATGGGATAATTGTTAACAGTGGTTGGAGAACCGCCTCACAGGTGTGTGTTCTGTGGATAAATTATTGTCCACAGGCATTAATAGTGTAGGGTTGCATTTCAACACTAGGAAAGGATAGGACTGAAAAAATGGCATTGCAGTAAAAGGGTGAAGTATAGTACAGTCCATGGTTTACAGAGAATAGTTCAGTTTACAGTTAAAAAAATTTGCATTCATATTTTCAAAGGTGGGCAGAACTTGAGTTCCAAAATGACTGAATTCCTGAAACTCGGTCAACCATGAGTACCTTGATCAGTAAAATCGGCTTTTTTTTCGGGCAGGACTGATGGTACATTTTAAAGCAATAATTTATTGCTTTATTTTTGTTCAATGTTTTTTTTATAATATATATTTTATATTTTGCTTAGTTATTTTTATAATAACTAGAAGAGAACTGCATGTTAAGGTATATTATTTACAAATACAAAATATCTGTACAGTATTTCCAATTTGATATTGGAATAAATTATGCACCAAATAGTTATTTTAAAGTTGTCAGCTGTGTAGAATCTCTGTAGACAAATGTCATCCAACACTATGGCAACCCAGATGATTTGGGCTGCCATAGAATGCCAAATTGTACAATGCTGACAACAGTGAGGAGAAATGTGAGGCATGTTAGTAGCAAAGTTAGTCATGTCGTGGTGGTTTAGCATGCGGCACTCCTGATCATTGTGGGAGCCCTCTGCCTGCATAATCTGTAGTATGGTGTATCATGTCACAGCAGATCATTTTTTGCCTTCTGCTGGTGTAATACTTAGCTGTGTATTGTGGTGGTATATCGTGCAGCACTTGATCATTACAGGAGCCTACTGCCTTCTGCCAGTATAATCTGTAGTTGCATGTCTTTATTGCAAAGAATCTTTGATATCATATTTTGTCTTTAAGTGTTTTTAGTGAATAGTGAATTTAAATATATATTTAGGAATATCCAGTACTGTATAGTGATTCTGGTGTGTTTAAAGATTATTTGGGACAAAAGATGAATCATTTCCTCCAGAAAACTGAAGGTAAAGAATAGTCTAGTTGACAGTGCTTAAATTTCAAGTCAAGCAACTGGAGCTCCTAGCGGAAGTTGTCAATCATGCTATCATGATTTATAGTGTTTTTAATTGTATTTCATTTCAAGTAAATATTTAACATATTTATTGCAACTACAAAGTGGGTCATAGTTTGTCTTCCATATGTGTTGTGACCAGAATCATCTGTCCGTTTTGAGCCAAGACTGGGACTTGGTTCTTTTTGAAGAATGGGTACCTATCTTTGCATATGTATTACAAGAGTGGGACATTTATCAACTAATTTAATTTTTCTTCAGTGTGTTCAGTGGATCGAAGATGCAAAACTGAATCAGATGCGTCGAGATGGAATGAAATTTGCTCGCATCCAACTATGTGACAATGATATTTACTTTCTGCCACGGAATATCATTCATCAGTTCCGCACTGTGACATCAGTTTGCAGCGTTGGTAAGTTGACTGTTGAAGTTTTTTGGCTTTTTAATATATTAAATTAATAGCAAGAAGATTGCTCTTTTAATATTTTAAGGAGCAAGTACTTTGGGTACAATAGAGTTTCCCACATTTAATAGATTTTTAAGGGCCGTTCATACAAAAAATATTTAAAAAAAAATAAGCAAGAAAGAGGAAAGAGGAAAGCCAGAAAGAGGAAACTGGCACCTCCACACTGGTGGTGACAGTGACCCAGGGAACAGCCAGAGAGTGAAGCCACCCACTAAACTCCAGGTTGCCATCTACAGTATACCCTGGAACATGCAGCTGGGTAGGGTTTGAGATAAAGGGAACAGACAAATTCGTCTTACATATTGAATGTTGTAATACACACTTGCAAGATTAGATAAGTACAAGAGCTTGGCATTCGTGCAAATACAGAACACTGGCAACCCCATTCCAAGCGTGCAGCAAAACAAGGCAAAATGGGAGTAAACAAACTAATTTGTGGCTATTGTAATAAAACCTTAAAGTCTAAGGCAACAGAATTTGAATGTTATATATGTAAAAATAGATTTCATTCAGTTTGTACAGTAGTAACACCACGGGGCTCAGAGCTGGCCATTTGCTTTGGGTATGTAAAAATTGCCTGCCATCATGGAATATCATAAAAAACTTTCTAGATAACATGATGCATGACTGGAAAATATGATTCAATGAAAGCCTACCAGCCATCCAGAAAGAGTGGGAAATGAACAACAATAATCCTAATAGACCAGGGGCGGACGGAGACTATAGTCAGGGAGGAAACTGGAGCAGAAATTCAGGAAGTTGTAAACTCTGATTCAGTGTGCCTGGATGCAGACGACAGTAGACTAGAAAATGTAACAGACAGCACTGACAACTCGATAGGTCCAAACACTACAACGGTTTCCGATAGAACGAGTCAGACCAGAAGGACAGATAAATGCAAATTTTATGTAAAGGGCATATGCAGACATAGATATGCTGGTAATAAGAAAGGATTAGAATGCAGTTACCATCCCAAAATGTTTTTAAATATGCTTAGGAAAGGACAGTGTCGATTTGGATCAACATGTAGGTTTTTCATTCTGACAAGTGCCAAACCTCACTTGAGGACAGAAAATGCTATGACTTCAGCTGCCCATACTTTCACGTGAAAGGCTCGGAACGCTACATAAAGAGTGGCAAGCATGATAATGGATTTGCAGGAAACTCAAATAATTTTTATACCAAGCCAAAACAGATTTCAAAAGGGGGAACATAGAGAATGGATGGAACTGGATGCCAGACCCACTTGTATACCAGAATCACAGATACAATTACACACCAAAAGGGTGTGTAAACTACTACTACTACTACTACGTTTGTAAACAAGCTACTACTACGACAGGCAGCTGCCCTGCAACAATCAGCTCTGGGCCAAACAAACTCAATATGTCCACGCATAATGTACCTACCAAAAAAGTCTCCCAGTCAAACTATCCTAAATAGAGTACCCTCATTCATCTTTGCCAACATACAAGGATTAAAACAAGAACAAAAAATAAAGTACAACTCATAAATGGCCGCCTCACCGAGTCAAATGCAGTATTTGTAGCTTTCACAGAAACCCCATGCAGGGGAATTCTTGGACAGTGAGATCTGGATACCAGGATATAATCTATAATCTATTTGGGAGCCGGTCGGCCGAGCGGACAGCACGCTGGACTGTGATCCTGTGGTCCTGGGTTCGATCCCGGGCGCCAGCGAGAAACAATGGGCAGAGTTTCTTTTACCCTATGCCCCTGTTACCTAGCAGTAAATAGGTACCTGGGTGTTAGTCAGCTGTCACGGGCTGCTTCCTGGGGGTGGAGGCCTGGTCGAGGACCGGGTCGCGGGGACACTAAAGCCCCAAAATCATCTCAAGATAACCTGAAGATATACAGGTGTGATAGAGTAATTAGGTCACATAGAGTAGCGGGTCTGTATATTAGGGAAGACCTAGTATGCTTGGAGCTCCTTAACTCTACAAATGAGGTGGTAGAAGTACTGGGAGTAAAAATAGAGAAAATAAACTTATTATTATTCTAATATACAAACCGCCAGATGCAATGGCTGAGGAATTCGCAGAACAGATAAATAATATAGAGAATGGCCCTGATAATTTGGCAAACCCGATACCTGATATTATCTTCCTTGGTGACTTCAACTTGCCACATCTAAGATGGCGAATAGCAAACAATAACATTATACCAGGAAATCTATCAGGACATAACTAACCACAGATTAGAGAACTGCTTAGATTCTATGACAAATTTCCACTCAACCAGCAGATATCAGAGCCAACAAGAAACTAAAATATTCTAGATCTGGTCTTTACAAACAATGAAGACATAATCGGGGATATTACGATATCAAATACCACATACTCAGATCACAAGCTCAATGAAGTGCAAACTACCATCAATACTCAGAATAGACCTAAACTAATGATCAAGCGAGAGGGGTTATTCAGTAAATTCAATTTTAATAATAAAAGGATAGACTACAGACAAACAGGGAACTTACTAAATATTCCATGGGAAACTGTTCTAAGTAATACAAGTCCTACAAAAGGGATAGAAAAACTGACTTCAGAAGCATATTGAGTCTGTCTGAAACATGTTCTTTTGAGGAAAGCCAGAAAGAGGTCCAAGGTAGAAAGAGAACGCAGACAACACTATAAAAGAAGGAAAAAATAACGGAAATGCTTAAGCAGACACGACTTTCCGTACAAAGAAGGAATAATTTAAACAGGGAGATTGAAGAAATCGAGCGGAAATTGCAACACACATATCAGTCTGAAGAAAGGCAGTTAGAACAGAAAGCCATTCAGGAAATGAAGAAAAAATACAAAATATTTCTTCACATATGCGAAATCAAAAACAAAAACCCACTGCCAGTATTGGACCTATTCGTACGAGTGAAGGTTCATATACGGAGGATGACAAAGAAATTAGTGAAATCCTAAAAAAGCAGTATGAGGACATGTTTAGAACTCCAATAAACAACATGAAAGTGGAAGATCCAGACAACTTCTTTGTGTGATATCCAAACCCCTGTAAATATAACTGATATCAACATGAGTGTGGCAGATTTTGAAAGAGAAATTGAAAACATGCCTGTGCACTCAGCTCCAGGTCTAGATTCATGGAGTTCAATATATATAAAGAAATGCAAGGTGCCAGTAGCACAGGCACTCGGTATAGTGTGGAGGAAGAGCTTGGACACGGGGGAGATACCAGATGCGTTTAAAGTAGCAGACATAGCCCCTCTACACAAGGGAGGGAGCAAAGCATTGGCAAAAAATTATAGACTAGTTGCACTAACGTCCCACATAATAAAAGTACAGTATTTGAGAGTGTGATTAGGAGTCAGGTCACCAGTTTCATGGAGACCAATGACCTTCACAACCCAGGCCAACATGAATTTCGAGCAGGAAGATCGTGCCTCTCACAGCTACTTGACCACTACAACATAGTCACTGAGGCATTAGAAGAAAAACAGAATGCTGATGGGGTATACACGGGCTTCGCAAAAGCATTCGATAAATGTGACCATGGAGTGATAGCACACAAAATGAGGTCATTGGGAATAACCGGTAAAGTAGGACGCTGGATACTCAGTTTTCTGTCGAACAGAACACAAAGAGTAACAGTCGACCTTATAAAATCGAGTCCAAGCGCAGTTAAAAGCTCTGTGCCTCAGGGTACAGTCCTTGCACCACTGCTTTTCCTTATTCTCACATCAGATATAGACAAAAATACATTTCACAGCTTTGTATCATCCTTAGCAGATGACACAAAAATCAGCATGAAAATTACCTCTGCTCAAGACATTGAAAAATTTAAAGCAGATATTAATAAAGTTTTCGACTAGGCAACAGAAAATAACATGATGTTTAACAGTGATAAATTCCAGGTACTCAGGTACAGTAAAAATGAGGACCTTAAACATAACACAGAGTACAAAATACAATCAAATGTGCCCATAGTAGGAAAGCAGCATGTAAAGGATTTGGGAATAATGATGTCTGATGCCCTAATGTTTAGGGAGCATAATTTAAATTTCTTTCTTTATTATGCACCCCCATACCCATCCCGTGGGCAGTGGGTAAAGGATTACAGAGGCACATAATTGGTTCAGGAACTGAACCCTCTAGTTCGTTTAGCTAAGCAAATAACACTTTTGATGCTAGTTACACAATTATTAATGTTATATATACATGTACACATATACATACACATATATATACATATACATACTCATACATATTTAATCACCTATACAAATACACACATCAAAAAACAATTTGTATCTCAAGTGATTCTACAAGAGGCTCACAACAGTCACTATACAAAGCACTTAAACATCTATGGTGGGTCACAGTTACTAGCCAAGCAAATATTGCATCAGCAAGAAAAATGATTGGATGGATTACGAGAACTTTCAAATCCAGGAATCCCATCACAATGGTTGTGCTATACAAATCACTTGTACTGTCCCGTGTAGAATACTGCTCAGTACTCACTTCCTCCTTCAGAGCAGGAGAGATTACTAAAATAGAGGGAATACAGAGAACATATATGGCATACATAGACTCAAATAAAGCACCTAAATTATTGGGATCGTCTCAGAGCTCTCCAAATGTACTCACTAGAAAGAAGACGAGAGAGAGATCAAATAATATACACTGGAAGATACTGGAGGGTCAGGTACCAAATCTACACAGTAAAATAACATACTGGAGTGAATAATATGGAAGAAAATGTAGTATTGAACCAGTGAAAAGCAGAGGTGCCATTGGCACAATCAGAGAACACTGTATAAACATCAGAGGTCCATGGTTGTTCAATATCCTCCCAGCGAGCATAAGAAATATTGCCGGAACAACCGTGGACATCTTCAAGAGAAAACTAGATCATTTTCTCCAAGGAGTGCTGGACCAACCGAGCTGTGGTGAATATGTGGGCCTG